AAGTTGAGTTAAAACGTCACTAAAAATTGTTCCAGGTCCACTTAAAGTCATTTTCTCCAAACTAAACTGAAAACGATGAAGATATTAATCTCTAACAACCAAGGAGGATTTATGTTGTTCTCATCTAGAATGAGCCAATCCCAGTTTCTTACAAAGCCAGGTCTATGCTGGTGATTCACCTAAACAAATGCATCTATTTTGATGATCTTTCTTAGAAGAGGCAGTAAAACTCATTTTATGACTTTAGAGGGTCAATCAACAGGCAACATAGAAAGGCAGATTCTATGTTGCTCACAAGAATTGCTTCCACTATGGTGAGATATACATAACATAAATTTACCACAGGGCCGTTCTGAAGTATATAGTTCATTGGCATTATTATACCACCTTCACCACCATCCACCTCTAGATCTTTTTGATGATCCCCAACTAAAACTCTAAAACACATGAGCCAGGAAGTCCCAGTCTCCCCTCCACACCTCCAAGCCACCTGTGGTCACTACCTTCTATCTCTAAGAAGCTGACAATTCTAGGCACCTCCCGTAAGTGGGACCCTATAATATCTGTCCTTCGAATCTGGCTTATTTCACTGAACAAAAGATCTTCAAGGTTCATCCACATTGAAGCCATGTATCAGAACGTCCTTCTTTCCTGTAGCTAAACTATGTTCTATGGTATGTATATGCCACATTTCCACATTTCGTTTAACCATTCTTCCATCAGTGCACATCTGGGGTGTTTCCACCTTTTGACTATTGTGAACAGTGCTGCTGTGGACGCCAGTGTACAATCATCTGTTCGAGTCACTGCTTTCGATTATTTTAGGCATATACCCAGAACTGGAATTGCTGGATCATGGAGTAATTTTGTGTCTAATTGTTGGAGGACTGCCATACCATTTTCCACAGCTGCTGCGCTGTTTTTTACATTCCCACTAGCAATGTACAAAGATTCCAATTTCTTAATATCCTTGCCAAAACTTGTTATTTTCTGGATTTGCTTTTATTTTTTTTCTATAAGAGCCATCCTAACGTTTAATAACTAGCCTTGCGTCTCAGTGTGCTCAACTGCCCCATGGGGCTGGGGCTGCTGGATACACTCTGAGAAAGATGGAACAGTCTCACGTGTTCAGTTATGCAGGTCATGCACTGTCCAGCTGTGTCTGGTCACAGGTGAGTAGAGGCTGAAATCCCGCACATGTGTCACATGCCAAGATGTGAACTGCCTCTTCTGGGGGGAGGTAGGAACGTTTTCTTTCCTGAAAATATGGTCAGCTGGCCAAGCCATAGGAGCAAGCTAAAGCACTTATACAAGCTATTAGTTATTCTGGCTGACCAACTGTCCATCATAGGGAAGCTATGGACAGAAGAGATCAATGCACAGGGTAATACCTAGTCCAACCAGACTAGATGACTATTAAAGCCCCTTTCAAAGATAGTATTCTGTGGATCTCTTTAATTGTTTTACAAAGTGGTCCTCAGATTCTTTGACATACTGCACAATGACTCTATATGGGACTCTATATGAACTCACCTTGAATCTGGGATCTGTGAGTGCTCGGCTAATAGAATGGAGCAGAAGTGATGCTGGGCCCAGCCCTTAAGAAATTGGCAGCTTCCACTTTCTGTCTCTTGGGACGTTCATTCTTGGAACCTAGCCACCATATTGTACAGGAAGCCCAAACCACAAGTCTCCACAAGTTTTTGGAGGAGAGATGCACGTGGAGAAAAACTAACTGAACACCAAGCAAGTGAAGGATCACAGAAGTGGGTCCTCCAGGCCCAGATAATGGAGTAATAATGAGCTGTCCCAGACAAGCTCTGCCCAAGCAGCACAATGATAAGCCAAGTAACTGATAGCTGTTGTTTTAAGCCACTACATTTGATGATGATTTGGTTAATGGCAATGGATAACCAGAACATTTCAACAACATGCTGGCATCAGCAGTGCACGGAAAGACCCCGAGGCAGGCCTTCCCTGAGGAGCCCCAGTCATTTCCTCCTATGGCACAGGCAATGGCCTTTGCCTTCATCTCCTCTCCCAATCCCAATTTAGGATAAAGTCCCCGCCATGATAAACATGCTGAGGTCCACTTGTCTGCAGAGTTTGAACCCTCATTGTTCGCATTTCTTGAGAGATCACAAGTTTCACTGAGCCACACGCTGGAGCCTTCCACAGAGTCAGTCTCCTGTGCTCCTCATCTGCCCTGAGCTACAGGTCTGCAGCCTTGGGGCGTTGGCTTCAAGGGACGGCAGAGCAGCAAACCATACTTGACGCAGTCAACTGCTGTCCATCTGGCTCCTCAACTTACTGTAGGCTTAAGAGGGCACATCAGCCAAGCGAACAGGTGGTGGGCACAGAGGAGAAACCACCCTTGGACCTGCCCCTTGGCAACTCAGTCTCCAGTTGCCCCGTTACTGATCAACTAAGTAAGGAATAGGTGGAGCGCCTCTGCAAGGACTTTCAGATTTCTGAGTCTCCTCGGATAAACTCTCCCCTCTTTCCTCGATCCACCCCCGTTCCTTCAGAAAGGAAACAGTTAAAAGACTCCAGCCCTTCAGGGCCTGGAAGGGGGCGGCAGCTCTGTGCTCCGTGGTGGCTGTGTCCCAGGAGACCTGGAAGGTTAGGACGCTCTCGCGGTCCGAGAGTGGGGTAGAAGGTCTGGGAGCTCTGGGAGGAGAAGGGAGGACAGGCGGGAGGCGTGTTCCTCTGGAGTTTTCTTTTTCTTGCGAGCCAGGCGCGCGCGCGTACAGTCACCCTCTGGTCTGGCGATCGTGGAGAGGCGGTGGAGCGGCTCCATCCATCCTACCCGGTCGTCGCCGGAGGCCAGGGGCTGGGCGAGACCTCCCCAGAGAAGAGAAGCCGTGCCTGGGAAGTTTCCGAAGCCGAGGCAGCCCTGCCTCCGGGGCCGCCGCCGCGCCGGAGCCCGGGACCCCCGCCGCCCTCCGCGCCACCCGCCCTCGCCGGCTCCGGCTTCCCCTGGCCCAGGCGCCGCGCGGACCGGGCAGCTGTCTGCGTCTGCCGAGCCCCACGGTCGGTGCGAATCTTTGCTGTCTGGGACAAGGTCTGGGGTGGGGGTGGGGGAGACGCTTTCTGGGCCCCTGGGTCGGGAGGAGACCGGAGCCAGGAGCGTCCTCGCCCGGCTGGGGCCCCTGCACCCTGGGCCACCCGCCGCGGCGGGGCTGGCACCCACCTGCCCAGGGGCGCGCGACAGGGTGTGCTCGGGCAACTTGTGGGGCTGGGGAACTTCGCCTCCCCGCGCCGGCTTCGCATTTTAAGCAAAAGGAAGCCCCGCCGTTTTCCTTGAGTGCCCCTTTCTCCCCAGGAAGGCTAGAACTTTGAGGAACATCACGTCCCTGTCGCTTGCTCCAGAGCCTACTTGTGGAGTTGGCTAGGCAACATGTCTTGTTCGCGTCTTTATCCCACACACCCTGGTGATGCCAAGGGTAGCCAGGGGCGCTCCGCGTGAGGGACTGATGTGCTCTGGAAGACCCTGAGCGCAGCTAGTTTTGGAAACCAGCCTGGGGAGGTCTGGGCGTTTCGTTCTGTGCTCTCCTTTCAAGGGCACTTGCTGCTTTTCACGTGCAGAAAACAAGGGCTGTTTCTAGATAATCAGTCTGTGTTTACACCGTCCTAATGACTTTCTCCTGATAGAGCTGGGGGTGGGAGGAATATTAAAGTCAGGCGCTGTCACTAAGGAGAGTTGCTAATTTCTTACCCAGAGAGCAAAACCACAGAAAACTTGTAAAAAGTTCAGAGTTTGTTTTAAATTCTCCCCTGCTAGTAGTCGTTCATGTGTTAGCTAATTGGGAAACACCTTGGCAATCATTTTATGTAAATGAAACACTTTAAACTCATGCCATTTTGGTAAGGTTGGAATTTCCAAATTACTAATTACAGGTGAACTTTGATCCTAGGAGCCCTGTAGGTTAAAGTAAACGCTTAAAGTGTAAGTAGAAAGAGTCAGTCCTATTCATTAATAATAGCTTTTGCAGCCCAGTAAGCTCCCAGACCCCCAATAGGAAGAACGCTGAATGTCCTTCAGGTCTGAACCTGAGATGCTTTGCTAGAGCTATGACTGATTATGACTGATGATTCAAAGCACAGCTTGACTCAGATCCATGGGACTGAGCTACAGACCCATTCTTGGAAGAACATCCATTCGAGAGGGTTCTTTATTTGGTTTTATAATTTTCACCCAATATTATTAAAAATACGGTATCCACATGCCTTTGCCGAACATCCCTCAGCTTTAAAGCTTGGTATGTGTGGAGAGCTGATAGGGATGCCATCAAAAGTGATTTCTGTGGTGGTGTCATTGCTGGAGGAGGAAGGAAGGTGGTTTCAACGGTAGCTGGCTCACACCGTGATAAGAACCCACTGTCTTGGCCTTCCTCGCTTCTGCTGTATTCAGCGGACAGAGCAAACCAGCAGCTAATGTTCAAAGCACCAGCGGGACCTTTGATGAGTGGTGTAATACCCATAATGGCCAGGTCAGTTCACAAAATGTCCTCCTAGCGGATTCTAATGGGCAGAGAGACATTCTGTTTCTGGAAAAGGCCTCCCCTCGCTCTCATTTTTAAGAAAACTATTATTGAAAATTGAGTAACTAGAATGCTTTAATCATAAAACAGCATAAGATACTAAAGTGTTTCTTTCCCCCCATCTCTGTGATCCAAAAAAAGAGGATGACAGGAGGCTTTGTTCTTGGAGTGCAGGTCTCCACTTGGGAATGGAGATGGTGGCATTTCACAGGTCTAATAAGAAGTAGGAAACAACTGCAAACTCTTTATAATTAAATCCAGGTAGAACTGACAGGTACATGGTACGCCCCTAAAAATTTGATATTTGTAATCACTTAGAATGAGTCAAACTTAAGTTCGACTGTAAGCAAACTTAAGTGGCCTCCCACGTCTTGGTTATGAAACCTTGACCTAATCACTGAACTTCTTCAAGAGACAGTTTCCTCATAAGTAGAATGGGGATGTATCTCTTGCCTACTGAGAGTTATAAAGTCAGACCACAGATACATATGTAATAACTTACTGTATAATAAATGATATTATTTCAGGTTCCTGGGAAATATTTCTGGAGAAGGCAAGAATATGCAATACTTGCACTATATACTTCATATTTACCTTTGCCTTCTATGCAACATGAATAAATCTTATTCTGTCCATGTGTTGACTAAACCTAAACTTCATTGTTCCTAAAAGTGGTTAATACCAACCTTGAATAGACAGAAAAAAAGACCCAATTTTTTTTTATTGTTGTTTGGGATTCATTGAGGGTACAAAGAATTACTGATTGCATTTGTTAAGTCAATTCTCTCAAAAGACACAGTTTTTAAAAGTTAAAGTATGACTTGAATGTATATGTCATAGACTCATACGCACCATTGCATAACTGAGATTATAGTCAGTCTTCATTTAAAGGTTCATAAAAACCCACAGAAAAGGAAACATATGAAATAAAAAATATCAAAATGGGGCGTATTATTTTTATTTACTTTTAATTCTTCCGTTACCCCCCCAACCCCCCTTTGTTGTTCCAGGGTCTTTTCTGTAAGGATAAAAGGAAAGCCTAGACTTCCTGGACAAGAGGGACCACTTGCTCTCTGCAGGTGACTAAATCAATAAATAACCCAGATGGTAATTTTGAAACTATCTAACCACTGTCCCAAGTCTATTAGTCCATCTAGACTCCAGAAACTTCTTTAAAACATTTCTGATACAAATAAGGCACAAGAGTGAGAGACAGAATGGTCTAGTCTGGTTAAAAGCTCAGGCTTCAAATGCAACTAACCTGCCTTAAAATTGCCGCCACCACCTGTGGCCTTGACAAGCTGCTTCATCTTCCTGACCTCTGTTTTCCTATCTTCAAAATGGAGCTGTTGTCCACTTCATGACATCACTGCATGGATTAGGGGGCAGCATGAATATAAAGTATTCAGCACAGTGATTGGCATATAATAAAGGTAGTATGCAGGATGCTATAGAAAATAGTCTGGGGACACCTGTGTCTTGGAACACCAAATACTGTGACTTGGAAAACCAAATACTATGACTAGCCTGGGAAAGTCCATCATGTTCAACATCACTGATTGGCAAGTATTGTGACGTCAATTCATGAGAAATGAAAGAGCAAAAACTTTTAGAAGATGTAGATTTTACTCCTTAATCATCAAGGTTTTTAAAATACTTTGTTTTTATCTCTATTATTTTATTGTTCATGTTCAACTAAGATTGTGAAGTGCACTGATAGTGTTGACCAGAGTTCTGACTTTAACGCTCTGTAACACATTAGACGGCGGCCTGTGCTGGGCTTTATTCCTATGTTCATCATTCACCATGTGTAAAACAGCATGTGTTTTGGAAGACTGATTTTTAATTACAGAATTTGGTAATTTTATGCCTCAATACTATGCAACTCTAACTGGGCATGTGATGCCTTCTCTCTTTCATTAGTAAATAAAATTTTGTATCTCAACTCTCAAAGATTTTTGTAATTCAGGTTTTTCTAATCTGCCTTGGTAAAGAGGAAAAAAGAACTGGCAGGAAAAAACTGATATGTCCTCAGTTTTACTGGAAGGGAAAACTGATGTTTCCTCATTCATATCATAATCTAGTGTAGCTATTTATAAAGATGAGGTAGAGGAGATAGATCTTGCCCAACAGAGCTTTGGTATTTTCTGCTATTTTACATATATAACTACCAATTATATCCTGCATTTTTACTGTAAATAATCATCCACTATGATCTTTTTCAGTTGGATTTTGTAACAATAATTCTTTTTCCTTTTTTCAGGTAGGATTAAAAAAAAGTGAGGGTGTAAAAGCCACACAGTAAGAGACATTTCCTGAAATTTTCATCACGATGGAAACCTTTTGCCTCAGGGCATTCTTTTGGCTGGTACTGGCTGGATGTGTAATCAGTGATAATCCGGAGAGATACATCTCAAATGTAAGCAACGACGTGGATGATTTCACCACTTTCCGGGGGACAGAGCTCAGCTTCCTGGTTACCACTCATCGACCCACTAATTTGGCCCTACCAAGCAATGGCTCCATGCACAACTATTGCCCACAGCAGACTAAGATTACTTCTGCTTTCAAATACATTAACACTGTGATATCTTGTACTATTTTCATCGTGGGAATGGTGGGGAATGCAACTCTGCTCAGGATCATTTACCAGAACAAGTGTATGAGGAATGGCCCCAACGCGCTGATAGCCAGCCTTGCCCTTGGAGACCTTATCTATGTGGTCATTGATCTCCCTATCAATGTATTTAAGGTAGGAAATAACCACAAATGTGTTTACAGGTTTGAGCCCTTGCTCTGATTCCACCGTGAAAGTTGCTGCAGTCTCACCTAACCTTTGCAATTTTACCTGGGTTTTTATCGAGAGCTATTTCTATGCCTTAAAACTACCGAGTTTCAAGAATTTAACACTTTTTTGTTATGTGTTACACTAACTTTCCAACTTAATTGTTCCAGGATCACACCTCAAAATTATGGTATTTCATGGATTGGATTCTCATGCCAGCCTAGAGCTTGCTGGTTGGATGGGCAGGCTTGCCCAGATCCCTGGATTTTTTTGAGATTCAATTTCTAGGGTGAGACCGGCAGAGCCCCAAAAGTACTTGAATAAATATATCTTCAGTTTCAGTTACCTTTTTAAAGTGATGCTGTTCAGAAGCTAGACATCCACAGTACAGCTTGAAATGAAAAAGTCCCTACTTTGACTGGATGGAGAGCTAAAGTCAAAGGGCATCCTGGCTTTTCTCAGTATCTGGTGACTTAGAGATAACAGAGGCCATGTGATCACAGCCAGCATTAACCTCTCTGGGCAGTATTACTAACTAAAACCATTTAAAATAGGCTTCGGTTTAGGGCTGTCTGCCCATGTCTTTGGATTACTTATACTGAGTGACCACCGTATGCTCACCCCAGCTAGGCAAAATGGATCTAAAGGCCAGTAAGACAAAGTTAATGCCTCAGTGGGAGAGCAGGATAATCCCCCAAACATTACTGTGATCACCTTGCCAGTTTAGAGACTTTTTAGTACCCAAACAAAGGAAAGCCAACAGGAATTAGTTATTTCGTATTTGGTCTAGAGGTTGTGAAGAGAAATTGCTGCAAGAATTCAAATGCACTAAAATTCAAATGAAATTGAATGATCTCTGTCAGATTTTGTGAAATGTGTCCATTCTAAACCCAGGGGAAGCACTTGTCCTCAGCCTTTCTTGCCCTCTGCGTATTATACACAGAAACAAACTATTGTAGGAGTAATACTCTGAAATATTACTTTAAATGACAAGTTTTACCAATTGAAGACATGATACAGTTAAAGTAGGATGATAGTCTCTCAGTGGCCAAGAGGTACTTAAGGTGTGATGAAATTATATCAGACTACTAGAAAAGTAAGATAAAAATAATGATGAAAATTTTGAGCATTACCAACAGAAACCTTTCCAATGACACCAATACACTGTTTTTAAAATTGGAAAAATCAAACAACAAATGATCAGAAAATGTTACCATGTCTTTCCACAGGATAGCATAAATACATGTGTTTTTTATTGAAACCCCAAATGGGGATTTCGAACCAAAACTATGATGCCAAATTGAACATGTGTAATAACTTAAAACATTTAGCATAGGCTATAAAACTTTTAAGTTTTTTCTTTTAAAACCTTCTTAATTTTCTCTTTATGAAACTATGTGTACACCATCCTTGACTCTCTCCTGATAGATTTGCAAATGTTGACATGACTCTTACTCAAAATTTGACTCTTCAGCTGTCAGTGTGGAGTATTAAACTTTGACTATTCATACTTATGAACGAGTTAACCAGCTCATCGTTGCTCAAGAGAGTAATTAACCTTCTCTGCATTAATAACTCTCTGCTGTTGCTGTTCACGCTGAAGCACACGACACAGATTTGGCCATGTGCAAGGCAGCTTCTCGGCAAACTCACGTCCACAGCTACTAGGATGGAGACCTTATCTCTTTGAGGTGCTCCTGCCAATCACCAGGCTAAGCTTCATTTCTCTCCCATAGAGCAACATTTTAAGTCAGATCATCTGGAATATCTCCAAATTTAATGAAAATCCAAATTGTTTTATATTCATCTACCAATGGATAAAAAAATCAACATATCTTTATTGGACCACATGGGTCTCCTTTCCTGAGGATCTAACATTTCATATATCTTACTATGGTTGCAAATAATGTGGACCATTTGACTGTGCTATTTTTACATCATAGTAGTACATTTGTGTAATTCCTGTTTTTCTGAAACTCATGTAATGAGTCACTTAACCAATATTAATTTTAGAAAGTAAACTTTTGAAACTGAAAAAATACTTTTTTTAGTAATATCATTCTTCTTCCTGAATAAAAGAGAAAAAGGCACGCTGGAGGGTGCTCAAAAGTTTCACAATATTTAGGGGCTATCGCCACATCATTCTTTCATCCTCTTCTCTAGGTCAGGAGACTATAAAGTATCGCTGGTCTTCTGACTTCTGCCCAGTCAAGAGAAATCCTTCCAGAAAGTATGAGTTCTAAGCCCCCATTCCCTTCCTCCATAGCTGCCTCCTACAGTAAGATCTGGCTGCTCTGGACTCCATCACATATACAACTGGTGGATTCCTCTGACCAAGTGAAGTTCACTACCTCTGTACTGCAGGGCAAGGTAGCAGCTGTTATCTCACTTCACCAGGGAGATGTTTAAGTGTCTATGAAGTTAATGCATAGACTCAGAGAACATTCTGCTAAAGGGATACGTGAACCTTCTTTATCTCTCCGACTTTTAGAGGAATTACGTTGAAAGAAGAATGATGGAGAGTATCTTCCAGGCTTTTCAAAGAAAGATGAGTTTTGGCCCTGGTGGTTCGCACCTATAACCCTAACACTCTGGGAGGCCGAGGATTGCTTGAGCTCAGGAGTTCGAAACCTACCTGAGCAAGAGCAGGACCCTAAGCCAGGTACTGTGGCTCACGCCTGTCATCCTAGCACTCTGGGAGGCTGAGACAGGTAGATTGCTGGAGGTCAGGAGTTCTAGACCAGCCTGAGCAAGAGCAAGACCCGATCTCTAGTAAAAATAGAAAAAATAGCCAGGTATTGTGGCAGGCACCTGTAGTCCCAACTACCTGGGAAGGTGAGGTAAGAGGATTGCTTGAGCCCAAGAGTTTGAGGCTGCTGTGAGGTATGAAGCCATGACACTCTACCCTACCTGGGGCAACAGAACAACAACAACAACAAAAGAGCAAATCCCTGTCTCTACTAAAAGTAGAAAACTTAGCAGGGTATGGTAGCAGGTACCTGTGATCCCAGCTACTCAGGAGGCTGAGCCAGGAGGATTTCTTGAATCCAGGAGTTTAAGGTTGCTCTAAATTAGGTTGACACCACTACACTCTAGCCTGAGCAACAGAGTGAGATTCTGTCTAGAGAAAGAGAAGAGGAAGGGATGAAGGAGAAGGAGAGGAAAAGAAAAGAAAGATGAATTTTCAGAATACACATATTGTTGTGTTTATCGATTATATCACTTGCTTTTATGCTCAGTCCTGAGGTGTCTCTAGACAGAGAACATTGCATTGAGTCATGTCAGAGTCTGTGTAAATGGAAGTAAACAGTGTGCAACCATGTCTGGGGACAATCTAGAATGGCTGATTAGACTATAATAATACTACAGGAAAAATGAGAGGGCATGATACATTTCATTCCCTTTCTCTCACTTTGAAAGAGAGTATGCTGGCAGCGCCCGCAGCTTAGTGGGTGGGGCATGGGCCACATAATCTGGGGCTGGGGGGTTTGAACCTAGTCCAGGCCTGCTAAGTAACAATGACAACTGCAACAAAAAAAACAGCCAGGCATTGTGGTGGGCCCCTGTAGTCCCAGCTACTTGGGAGGCTAAGGCCAGAGAATCACTTAAGCCCAAGAGTCTGAGGTTGCTGTGAGCTATGATGTCACGGCACTCTACCCAGGGCAATAGCTTGAGACTCTGTCTCAAAAAAAAAAAAAAAAGGAAAGAAAGAAAGAAAGAAAAGAAAAGAAAGAGAGTATACTGAAACCTGTTCTTAGGTTAATGTAATGTCAAACACAACTGAATAGCACCGCAGCAGGTATGGGGCAGCTATGCTGTTTCTGACCTGTCATTGCCTGTGCAGCTGGATGGTCAGTGGGCATGGGGTGGGGTGGGGGGTCACTCCATACCTAAATTTCCAGTCATGTCTTAATTCATCTCCATAACTTCACAGCTTCTTCCCTTCAACATATTCTGGATCTTGCTTCTACTTACTGTGTACCACTCCTCCATCAAAAGCACCCAGGAGCTCCCACCTGTCCCACAGGCCCCTCAATGATATATACAGATCTCACACGCTGGCCATACTTTATCCGCTTCTTACAAATTCTCACCATGCTTGCTCAGCTCTTGTCAGAATGCCATCACTACCCCTCAGGGACACTTTTTGCTATAAACACAGTGGAACCTCTATAGCTAACCACCTCCCCCCATTGACCTAATTTTCATAGACTGGACATGCACCATGTGTACATATCAGTGCAGTAGGCCTAGTACCTTGTGTTCACCATCTCTATGTGTTGACCAGTTTGTTACAGTCTCTTGGGTGGTCAACTTACAGAGGTCCCCAGAGAGGCTGAATATAATCACCAAATTTCTGCTACTGAAGCATTTACAGATCCTAAACTGGAAAAAAAAAAAAAAAAAGAATTAACTCTGCAGTTAAATATGTTGCATCAAGAAGAAATAAACCAAAAAAATGAAGAGAAACTCCTTTGGCCCTTGTTACTCTCTCTCTCTCTCTCACATACACACACACACACCCTCACACACACACACACATACCCTCACACTCACACACACACACTCACATACACATGACTTAGAGCTGGTGAGAAAAGAAAATCAGCAGTCTGAGAAAGCAAAATGTGAAACAGAAGGAACCAAAGAAAGCAAATGAATGCCAGTTTTCTTTTGGGTTTTCAAACACACAAAGGCTTTGCAAATGGTAATGTTGAAGAAAAGCTACTGCCAAGTTTATCAAAAGATAACTCTAATTTTTAGTTGTTAAAAAAAACAGATACTATCACTAACTGCAAGAGAAAACAGATAAAAACAGAAGAGAGGCAGGGAAACAGCCAACTCTTTCAGATACCAAAGTTTATAACCTAAAATGGTGATGGATTCAGTTTGTTAAGAAATTACATTATCTGATATCTTAAATTTTCAAGAAGAGTAAAACTTGGCCAAATAAACTAATCTGGGTA